CTTGTTGTAAAGGGGCCATATAAGGCGCTTTGATAAGGTTGTAAGCCTTATGCCATGATGAAGTACTATATTTTTTGCGCAATTTTTTAAACATTTGCAGAATTGATGCCACCTCACTGAGGAACTTCGCACATATAGGGTAGACATGCAAATACGCGAAAACATTATTTCGTTCTGCTGAAGGTACAGCAAATAAAATCTAGGAAGCTGTAATTGAAGCAATGACGTAACAATAATACACAGTAAAGAAGGAACTTTGCTCAGTACAACTGAGTGCAAAAAAAAATGTAAGCTATTATTCTATGACTTCTTATGCATTTTTCCAGATTAATATTTGAACTGCAGCAGATATAATGTCGTTGCACATTAAATTTAGCACTTAACTTCGCTCTTTATTAAACATACTGTGTTGTGCTTCAGTGCACTGTTGCGCCAAACTGATAGTGAAACAAATTGCTCGCCTACCACGCCTTGTCAAACAATGCTGCCACATCAGAAGAGATAAGGAAATATCTACTGCACTCATACTTTTTCTAAGTGAAGGTCTTGGCGCCGCTTTTATTCAAAGGAAAAAACTAAAAGCGCTACTGTTTAAAATCCTTAGACTTATCCTCGTTTTGTTTTATTCATCTGTTCTTAAATCAATAAAACTTCAAATTTTTTTTTGCAGCATGGCGCACACCGGTACAAGCGAATTCATCTGTGAGTTCGGATGGGCGATCGCGTTATCCAGTTGATCATAAAAATTGTTTTCAGCTGGTAGTAGCGTGACTGCCGGAGAAATCCGGGAAATTCGCGAAAGGGAGAAGAGGGAGATGCGAGGGTTGAACGATCGACTAGCAGCTTATATCGAACAGGTCAAATTGACTGAAAGGCGAAGCTGTAAGGCGGAAAAAGTTATATTGGCTTTTTTAGGTTCGTTTCCTGGAAGCACAAAATCGAAAACTCAACCATGACCTGGAAAGATTGACGAAGGGTAAACACGCACCCGGAATCCGCATGATGTACGAAAAAGAGATAACGGTAAATATGCTTTCAAAAAGGAGTATACTTGCGACAGGCTGAACAGTTTTCCCTTGACTCCTCTCTCTGTTTATAGCAGTCGCAATCCATCATCGCCGGTTCTAAAAGAGACTATGGAAATACAGAAAAGGAAGTAAGATGCCTTACTGCAG